TATATATATATAATTAATTACAACTTATAAAATATATGATTTAAATAATATTATCCATTAATTACAAATTTATAAGATATACGACTTAAATTAATAAAATGGAATTCCGTTCAAAAACAAAATTTAAGGCAAGCATAAAAGATTTATCTATATATAAGCTATCAAAATTAATTAAGACAAATTTACAGAAAAATTGTTTACCTTACCCTATGCACATCAGCAAACCTTGTCATTCCGAGATATAAGTATTAAAGAAAATATGGACTTTTAGTTTCCTTAATATTTGTCTATTTATTCTTATAAGAACTCTTTATTCCATAGATAGTTATGATATGAAATTGAATTTCCCAATTTTGTTAACTTAACTTTCCGAACAAGTATTTTAATTTCAATGCGATTCAGAGGACAACTTGACTAAATTTGACTCGTCGACAGTTCAAAACGGAATCCAAGAACGAGGTCACTACGCTGCTACGCTATGTGCGCAGCAGGTAGCGCCCTCTCGCATGCGTCGAATACGATACTACCGAACGGCGGTGTGTAGAACTCGTAGAACCATAACCTCCGATCCAGGCGGATTTCAATTGATTTCGATAGGGACTCACTGCATTTAATTTCTTCTTAATTTCGGCGATCGACGTACAAAAATCTCTTCGTGCGAGAGTAGCGTGAATATCACTTTATCGAGCATGTCGCACGTACTGTCGTTCAGCACGTTGCGTTAATTGCGTACAATTGCACCGTGAGAAGGACGACGACGTACACGAAGAATGGCCTCCCCGAAGCGTGGAGTGCGATGAATCAGTTATGTTGCCCTCAACCGGTTACTTCAAAACGATAAATTGCCCGTTTTATGACGGCGGTTCGTGTGATCGGCCCTATTGCCACTTCAAACACGCCAAGCGAGGTAAGACCGTGCGATTCCGTGGTCTTCCTCGAGGTACACGACTGCGAGGTCTTCTGACGTAATTTAATGCGCGAGAGGATCTTCATTTCAATTGAATTTTAAGAAAAACTGCGTGTTAATTGTTTTATTCTTATTCTCCTCGCACGTTGCTAAGTCGCAATCATTTAGGCCTAGTTCTATCAATATAAAATTGACTAATTTTGTTTCAATTTATTTTTTATTATTTTTTCCTAATTTAAAGAATGATTTTTATTTTTCTAAAAATTAGAAAAAGATAAACAATAAACCAAACATTAAACCAAGAGTTAATATTACATTAAAGTTAATATTACATTAGTAGAGTGAAATCAAATCTTATGAGATTTTGACTTTGCAATAAATTCTTTGTTTGCTTCCTTTGTTCACTGTACTAGAGAAGACAAAGAATCATAGAAAACTAAATAAATTAGGTACAATATCTTTTTATTAAAGATTATTATAAAATAATTTAATCTAATGTTATAATAATGATCATGTTAGTATCACATTTTTACAATATTTTTCATTATTTGTTAATTATTTTATAATTATATGTCTAATTTGAAGGTTAAACATTAATAAATTTTCAGTAAATTTAAACTTGTGGCCTGATATACTAAGGTCCGATTGTTCCACCTTTTGTTAAATTTTACCTGTTGAGCAAAATTAGTCAATCATATGCGGATTGCCAGATTTACCTAACAGATAAAATTTACCAAAAGGTGGAACAATTAACTCTAAATGTTTAAAAAGGAAGTTTAAAATAATTTGCAAGATTAAATATGCAATATATTTTTTAAATTAATGATTTAAATATTTTGAGAAATTATACAAGCTGGCTCATTAAGTAACAGTTAATCGCATATAGATAAAAGATACACTCTTTTTTGCAAAAAATGTTACAAAATAATTTAATCCTTAATAATAGTTTAATCTTTATATTTTTATAGTTTTATTAATTGTTTTATATGTTTAATTTGAAGATTAGATTGAATATGGACTGATAGTCTAATTTTAGACTATCTAAAATTTAAAAAAAAAAGTTTAGAATAATTTGTTAAATATGCAAGAAGTTTATAAAGTTAAGAGATTGAATTTTTTTTTGAGAAATTATTTACAAACCGGTTCATTAAATAACAATCAATGTGAATGAAAGATACAATGAGATATTTTTATTTTATGTAGAAGATGCAGGAAGTACAGCAGGAGTGGCTGGAGTGGTGGAGACCCAGACAGTGGGTCAAATACAGGAGAACAAATCTGCTGATGTTATGACTTCAACTCCTGACATGCTGCAACATCTAGTGACGGAAGCTGTAAAGAAAGTGCTTGCAGATCAAGAAGTTACTGATACAGAGAAGGTTTCACAGGTTTCGCAAAACATTGTCTCGCAAGTAGTGGAAGGTCTTAAGCCGACATTATCTTCTAGCTCCACTGTCTGTATGCACAATGCTACGCCAATTATAGGAAAGCATGTCGCGATGCCCACACCTATTACAAAACCAGTTGCTTGTGTCTATAATCCGACGCCAATAGCGGAACTGAAGAAACGGCATATACCTGTGGTCTCGTATATGCCGACCAGGGAGAGTAGAGTGGCTGTGAAACGTAAATTCTCACCAGAAAGAATTAAACCATGGCCGAGTGTCGTTCAGGAATCGAGCAATCCTCAAGTTACGCCTGAAGTTATATATAAACCCACTGCAATAGTGAATACAACCGATCAGGATGTTGTACAAAATTATGTACCGACAGTTAAATTGGATACATCTTTATCGAATTCGTATGACGATAGTAATTCGAATGATTATCAACCTAAATTTAAGGAAGTATATTATCCGAAATCTAAAAAGAGAAGGGAGGAATACGTTCCTAAAAAAATCAAAGCACCATTACAGACAGTTCAGCAGTTAAACAACACCACTTTAAATCAATTTGAGTCTGATTTTGATATGATAGATGAGATCATTACTTCCAATCACGCATCCACTTCTGTAATGCTAGAACAAGCGAAAGCGTCAGCCAGCGAGGATTCTCAGGATTATTCCTTGGACATTGAGCCTAGATTCTCCGATGACGAACCTATAGAAGATATGTCTACGGACGAACATAAAGCGAACGTAAAAAAATCTGAGCAAACGGAAGATGTAAATGAGAAGGAGAAGGAGAATTTACAACATGTAGGAATTGATACAGATAAACAAATTAGCAATAAAGATAATAAAATACATAGCAATCATTATGATGAAAAAATGGGTGATATACAAAATAGCGATAGATCTAAACAATATAAAGAGAGTGATTCGAGAAAATTATCGGATAAAAGAGACACTGCAAAGCAGGATACTGATAAAGAAAAAGAAAAACATAAGAGTCATAATAAAAATAAAGAAAGAGATAAAAGAGATCATCATAGTTCTGAGAAGAAAGATAAGGAAAGATCTAGAGATAAATCAAATTCTAAAGATAAGCACCGCTCCTCGTCTAGCAGAGACAAAGATAGGAAAAGAAGTAGCCGCGATAGTAAAGACTCTTTGCATGGAAGTAGAGAACACTCGAACTCGCGAAGGCATCGACACACCTCTCCGAAAAAAGATCGAAATGATCATCACAAATCTAGCCGCAACAAACATAAATCAAGTTCGAATTCATCCAGTTCTAAGTCAAATAAGCACACTTCGAGCAGGAATGACAAAAAGCATGACTCGGAATCAAGTCGGAAATCCAGTGACTCTCCCAGAAAATCTAGCAAGCATAAAGAAAGTAGTAGCGAAAGAAATTCGTCTGATAGATCTGATAGTTTTGTAGACAGTAATCATTCTTTCGTTGATGAAATTTTGGAATTATCAGATTCTGATCATGATGTACAAGAAGAGTGCCTAAGAATTTTTGAGGTAAATAATAAATAAATATAAATGTAATCGTAAATAATTTTCTTTAGAAGTTCATTTATCCTTTTATTTTTTATAATTATAAAAATAGTTATAAAATTAATTTATAATTTATTGT